TCCTATTGACCTCCAAAAAGACTAGAATGCAGGTATAGAATCATGGACGGTTTAGTAAAAACCCGGGGTGCTTCTCAATTAGAACCGGCCACGGGCTTCAGTTTTGTCACCGCAATATTTAAAAATATACTGTGATTACAACGTGTAAAATTCGCGGAAAATTTTATTTAATGGTCGTGAATGTGAACGCCAGAGGCTCGCGGGACATTAGAGGGGGGGGATAATCGTCCTTGGAAGTTGGCTAATTAAGAAACATTTTGCAGTAAAATTTGTAAATATTAGTTCTGGGGATCCTGTTACAGGTATAGCATCGACGGGAATTACTGTTAGAAGCTATACCAATTAAAAAGCATTTGCGGAAATGTAATGGTTTGTGAGAAGTTTCTTGATATACTTCCATGTTTCTTAGCCCTGTTTAACCTTTGCGCATAAAAAGTGCGCCGCATTAAAAGTTTGAATTGGGCTTGTTGATCCACTGTGGTCTAGAGTACTTAAAAGCTAAAGCGAAAAAGCGCCTTTAAGTCCTTTAGAGCGCCGCAAACCCTGTTCACAATGTCGTTTGAAAGATTGACGTATTCGTTTCAGTAACATCGTCGCTTGGGTCGTCGGCACACTCAACAAGTGCACGCTGCCGATATAGTGACGACATGATTGGAAGGACTACGACCCTCTTCGAAGCGCCATTTTGGGCAGAGCTTGCGGCGCTTCTTTTGGCGCTCATTTGTTTGTTGGCCATGCAAAAAAACGTTAAAATTTATCAAAATGTATCTTAAAAACTAATATATTTTTACACATGCTTTTGGTTGGTCTGACGTCTCATGGGAATTGCCATCAATACTTCAATCGCAAAATACTTACCGTAACAATTATTCCCTCTTCGAAGGTTCAACGAGCTTGACAAAAACTTGGCGAAGGCGGCACAGGTCTAACTCTCACCTCCTCTCTTTTTATGCCAGTTCCTCCAAAACGAAATAATAATAACACCCTGTATACTACGTCGTGAAGACAATAAAATACAGGATGTCACAAAAGAAAATTGACACGGTCTTTTTTACCGCAAAAATAAACTGGGCATCGCCGAACGCTCATTCTCCGCCCAAAGGTAGAGCTAGAGGTCACAACCAGATGCCAAAGTTTGAGCCCGATCCGATAACTTAATCAAAAGTTATAAGTGATTTTCTGAAAATTTCAATAGAAATTGGAGCCCATTTTCGGTTTCTGGTGCCCCATGTGTCTGAAAACTCCGTCGGCTACCATTTTCCCACTGAAATTTTCAGAAATCAGTTAGAACTTTTGATTGAGTTATTGGATCGGGCTGAAACTTTTGCATCTGGTTGTGACCTCTAGCGCTACCTTTGGGCGGAGAATGAGCGTTCGGCGATGCCTAATTTATTTTTGCGGTAAAAAGGACCGTGTAAATTTTATTTTGTGACACCCTGTGTATGATCGAGCATAACCTTACGAATTTTCTGTCGACAAAAGTCGCTTGCTGTCGAAACACCTTTTCGACAGAAACACACTTTTCGATGACGTGAACATAGAAAACATCCCGTCACTCTAAATCATATCGCGCCACTATCGCCGCAGCGACGTTCCTTTCGCCTTTTTCCCGGAAAGCAGACGGTGGGAGGCCGGAAGTAGCGTCGGGACGTCACCGGGGTGCCCTCCGAAGTGTGACGCGAAATAATGGGCCCGGCAAGGGATACCCCGATGTTCATCCTTTTGCCTTTCGTTCTCTTCCAGCACTATATGAGCTGCTGCCGTCCGTTTTTTTGGGCGCTTCCTCTTCTATAAACGTTAGCAACTATACGACCTCTGGCCGCCTACAAATCGCTCCTGGCATGTGGAAACCTTCCGATAGTCGAATCTTCATTCTCATGCACGCTATGAGAATGAGGATTGAATGCATGCCAAGAGAATGCCATGCACTCTCATGGCATCAGAAAAATATATCGGATGCCATGAGAATACTACATTACTCACCGCAGACGCTAAGTGGCAGTGTCAGCTACACTTATCTTATCGATGAGCATTGGACTAACCAGCGTAGTCGAATAATTGCGTTGATTTACAACGTAATACTGATTTATATATGTCCACAAGTTAATATCAAGTCCATAGATGCATTTACTATACAAAGAAGGGCTATCAGCAACTAAGAAAGGCTCGATCAAATGTAAACGTATAAGAAAAACAACCCGAGACTAGCATTTAGCATGCTGGTTTACTGACAACAATCTTGGCAACAACCCAGCCACAACCAAACCGTATTTCAAACGAAATTGAACCACTCAAAATGCTCACAACTTTGATGGATGGATGTGCAACAACCGGGGCCACCTCAAGGCGGCAGTGAGAATAAAAAAAGTGCAGCAATCGGAGTCCCGCAGATAAATCAAAGTATAACCACTCGAAATTCGTCGAACCAAAGTGGATCGGCATTACGCGAAGCATCACAATTACTCGAGGCAAGTGTCCAGACAGCGAAACCGAAAGCTCCAACTCGTGAACTTGAAGAAGGACAACAAACATGCGCAAGTTGAAATAGTTCAACCGGTTTTTACCCGACAGTAATCACTGTATTTTGTTCACCCCTCAGCCGATAATGTGGTAAAAGCTACGAGATCTTTAGACCAATCAGCAGGCTCCCTTTCGTCACCTGACCTCGCTCTTTGCGCACGGGTATGGAAAGAACGCTGATCACGTGGTGGAAGGCTTGTGACTGACCAAACGATCCGGTATAGTTTCTACTCCACTATCATCTCAGGAGTGAACAGGGTATGGAGTCCGCTGCGCAACAGCCATCAACTTAGACATTAGAGTCATCTTGAGCTACGCAGGGACCATCAACGTAGGAGCATTGCAAAATTTATGGCCGAAAATAATACCGCGAAGATGAGAAATGTTTCGGGCGGCACTCACCGTCGTTGAAGTCTCGAAACAGTTGAACAGAAATCGAAAGCGGAGGCATTTAGCTTGCCTCCCGAGAACCGGTTGCGTATGCGGTGGAAAGCCATGACAAAGTACTTCTAATTGTAGACTGGTGTTCTGGAAAGCTAAAAATCTAGAATCTATCTAAAAAAAAAATAATATCAAAAGTAGGATGGGATGTGCTTTCTGCAACCCAACTAACAAAGAAAGCATATTCACCTTTTACAACCGATAAAATCTAGCTAATGCTGTCGGTGTGCACCCTCGCGCTCTTTTAGATATGCAGATCTCGCGAGCATAAAACTTAAAAGCAAAACCCAAAAACCCCGTTACGATAACCCCGTCATGACATTACAAATTATCCAAAACAGATCGACTTATTTGCTTCTTTAGAACTATCAGCCCACCTCTAGAGTAGCATTTTCTCAGATTACTTTGTAGTCACAATCTATTTTGTTTTATTGCGAAGTTCAACAACTGTGTTCTTAATTTTATAGCATTTCTTTCTCATGACAAGTGTATAGCTTCCCGTGAATATTGCAAATAGGTAACGAACTATATTTCATTGAGTTGAAAGTTTTGATACATGAATTGATTATTGTTTATTCGTATAGGATTCATCTCGCAGCAAGTATTTGTCCACTGAAAGAATAAATGGCTCACGGCATTGAAAAGTGTGGGTATATTTGAATGTTGGTTTTGGCATCATTTTCATTTGTCAATTTTGCAATAACTATTATTAATTTTGCAAACAATATAGCATACCAGAAAGGGTAAGCGACGGGGATTCAGAAAATATTGTTTTTTGGGATAACTAAAATATAAAATCGCCGGAGTACCTCTTTGACCCTTGGTCGCGGGAAACGGCGTTAAAAAACGCCAAACTAGGCTATTTTTGTTATTGTAGTAACTAGTCTGTACGGATAAATCAAAGGCTACAATACGCGAAAAAAAGACAGCATCAGACATTCCCGAAAACAACAAAAACAAGTGTGGGCAACAGCAACTTAAGATAGTTTCAGCATAACGTGGCAAACGACGAAGGCTACGGGCCCAGGAACCCAATCAGGGCTTCGAAGGGATGCACGCGACAGCGTATGTACACAGTTCACTCCTGCACTGGAGAGTTGTCACATGCTTCGTTCTGTCGCAGCGATTGGCTCTCGGGAGCCTTGCGGCCGCTCTTTCCCAAGTTACAATGAAACGAAGCAAGGCGCCTGCAAGTAAAGAACGCACGCTCCCTAAGCGCAAATCGTTTTCACCTGCATAGAACCTAAAAAGGGTACGCTGTTGTTCGCGACCATTTTTTTTTTATCGCTCTTTTCCGAAGGGGAGACGTTTTGCGTTCAAAGAGCCCCAGAGCGAAGAATAGAAGATGCATCGGCACGCCACCACCATTCAAAGTTGCAAGCGGTTCGAGAGCAGTGGCGCACAAAAGTCAAAATAGTGGTACAGGGTTGGGCGGCCGACGATGATGATAGCTGCTTGCGCCGGGGGGGGGGGGGGGGGGGAGCAACCACTTTCGGGGTTTCTTCGAAGCGCCTCGGCCACTCGCTAGACGTTCGATCGTTCTCTTCGTTTCCGGGACCATGCTGCATTATTGTATCTTTCTAGAACTGTGAGGTAGAATGGATAGAGCTAGGTCGTGTGCTAAACATCTTTGTGGCGTCAGTCGTTCCTATGCTTCCTCAGATACTGCAATCCTGCTATAGAGGGAATCAGATTTCCTCGCGTTGTTTTCCTGCACATATTATTCCAATTTAAATTCGTTTTCTTACAGTGCGCCTTCTCTCAACTAACCTAAGAAACGACACAACTGCATCGCCTTGTGACGCCAAATTGACCTTTATTTCTGGGGCAGTGTTCAATCAACTTTCGGTTGCGGATCTATGTCGCATCGCCTTTATCTTTCTGAAGTGCTTTTAACTACTTCCATCCATCTGAATTACTAATTCCGACAATATATTTCTTCGACTTACTGTATGGCAACTCAAAAATATATCTTAAGCGAGTTGCTTCTTTAAAGGTGCGTGGCGACTTGCCTTACTTTTGTGCTTTTGCGGTTCCAGATGATGACTCGAGGTCCGTGCCGGTCGTGGGGACCCCTCGCGGTGGCGGCGGCGCTGGCGCTAGCCTGGTGCTGCCAGCCCTGCCAGGGCCACGGCAGGCTCATGGAACCGCCGTCCCGGTCGTCCATGTGGAGGATGGGGTTCAGGACGCAGAAGAACTACAACGACAACGAGCTCTTCTGCGGCGGCTACGCGGTAAGGCCCTGACCTGTTCTTTCTTGATATATACTCTCGCAGTATATGCTCAACGGATACGTGACACCGGTGTGTCGAACCCGAGGCTCGTGTTTTTCCCTCCCCCTAAACGTCATTGCCATAGTCCCCTACAGAGCGACAACGGCGTGTCCTCCGAACGCCGGTCTCCGGCAGGCGTTCCATGCCTTTGGCATTGCTCTGGCTGAGCTCGCGACATCGAAGTGCACGAGACGCTGAAGCTGATGATGATGATCGGAGGCTCTATAGCGCAGAGACGCTGAAACTTGTCCAAGATAGGAAGCACGCGCCGGAGGCGGGACAACAGGGGCTCCTTTTCAGCCGTCAACACCTTGCCAGTGACTCCCCGCCGCGTCGCTTGTGTCTGCGTCGCCGCCAGCGCGGCTTGCAGCGTCTCACAACGAGGCGCGACGCCCGCACGCGGTGACGCCGAGGCGGACGCGCGTACCGTATTGCGGTGACTCTCGCCGAACTTCAGCGTGTATTCCCTGGTAGAAAGCAATACACCCAAAATTAGACACATTTCGTGTTTTTTTTCTTAGAAAAGGAAGAAGTACACTTAAATTATATTTAACTGTAATATTAAGAGAGAAAGAGAGGTACTAGATTTTGGCCTAAAATGTACAGCTGTGTTCCATATAGTTTTAGCGCACTTTGTGTTTTAGCGGTGTGATACGCGCGAGGACGCAGGCTTGGAACCTAAGGTGTACATAATAAAATATACGTTTAATATACCACTAGTACGCTGAAAATATATATGAGGTATCCTCTCCGTAGCCATTCGTGAAACTATGAAATTTGTATACTTTAATGTATGTACTTCTAATTGGGAGAAGAGTTACTCGAGAGACGTACTACCTCATATGCAGTTGTACTATTTGTTCTCCGATGTGCCAACGGCACAAATTTAGATACTTTACCGAAATCTGGCTGGATACAGACAAAGGTGCTTTTTCTCTCCACAATTTTTTCGGCATATATACCAAATAAACATACCCTAATTGTGCGGTCGACGTTGCGACTTTCACCTTCCTTTATTTACCCATTTGGGGCATATAATAACCGTACTCAACACTAATTTGCCCTAAAACATTGCATGTTTTAGCTTTGTCTTCTAAATTGTTCTCATGTATCGCGGGGCACTTCTAGCGTCACTGATATGTCTCTGCTGGGCTCGTTCACCTGATCCCAAGATGTTCAACAGAATCACATTTAGACCCAGATACGTAACACCATTGACAATTTATATGTATATGTGCACCTTGCGTAGGATTTAACGTTTTCTGTTTGTTTTGTATTTCGACAAAGTTTTCACTGCAGTTCTTTGTTGTGGTTTCATTTGAGCACCGTAATGCATGCACAAGTCGTTTTTCTTATCGCGGGGATTTTAGAGAAGTACCTGGAAACCATCTCAGAAGTTACTAGGAAGTATACCTCAGATTTACCGTTCCATGAAATAAAATTTGTTTATGTTTGTACCTCGGGTGCTGAAAAAGCACATATACCCAGGTTACTTTACAACCCGGTTACTTGTACCCAAGTACCTTACAAGACAAAACTCAGGTGCGGAAGTGAAACACAAGGAAACATTTTCTGTATAGTGTACAAACGCTCATTTCGACGCAGTTTGAAGATTGCATTCACGCGACTTTATTTCACGAATAATTAATACATGGCTTTAACGCTATGGTGCACATGCGGGACTAAGAAACATTAGAAACATTGTGGTACGAATTTTTACTGGAATCGCTGCTGGCCATGGGGACTGGCAAGATGGCGGCCCATCTGACCTTGTCCGCACTCTCGTCGCAGGTTCAGTGGCAACGTAACAGTGGCAAGTGCGGTGTTTGTGGCGATCCCTGGAGTCAGCCGAACCCTCGCGACAACGAGGCCGGTGGCAAGTACGCCAAGGGCATCATTGTTCGACGCTACAAGCGAGGACAGGTACGTACACTCGCCATTAAGGTGCCTGGAATGCGCGATCGACTGGTGTGTTTAGCGCCCTATCCTGCCCATGCATAAAACGTGTCAAAGTTTAATCACTGGGGTAGGGCGAGGAGAAAAATGATACTTTTTTTATGCTGGGTGGCGCAAGCTACCGCCCGTTATAAAAAGCACAGTCATTAGTACCTATTCCGTCCATATATCCATCCAGTTGATAAGTATTCAATCTTCTTAAAAAGTGCACAAAACACGAACACAAAGTAGAAAACAAACATGACAAAAAAGCGCTCCTGTCCGTCCTGTTTGTTCTTTACCTCGTCCTCGTGTTTTGTGCGCCTTTTAACCAGATCTAAAAGTAGTTTCGAAGTGGCAATAAATGACGTCACAGAAGCCGGTACGTCACGCGGTCGGATGTCGCGATTTTTTCGGTTTCTGCTAGACGTACCAGCAAAATTAATACGAGCGATTTCGAGTGTCGCTGTTGCGGAGTCACAACTCCTGGCTGCTGAAGCTTCCGTGAACTGTCAAGATGGAGAACCACTTACAGCTGAACAGACGTCTGCCACTTCCACCATCGCTGTTGTGACACCGCCAGGATTGCGACCTGCGGCAACAGCACGATTCTATGACGTCATAAGCGGAAATCTAGCTACCACATTTTAGGACGCGTTCAACTCACCAGTCGGAGAGGCGCTCCAGCATCATACTTTCCATGCATTATTTTTTTTTTTTTTGCAGATACGCAAAACATACGCACACTCTAGTATGTTGCACGTTAGGAAAAGCAGGACAAGCTCCTCCCTAAAGCCCTTCACCCTTTCCACTTCAGCGGAGCGACACTGGAGAAGAGGCGAGTGGAGAAGAGGAAATCACCAATCATGGCGCGCAGAGAGCTCTGGGGAGGGTCTTGCCCTGCTTTTCTTATCCTGCAACAGACTATAGGCAAAAATGGCGATGTGAAATGCGCAGTCGAGCAAATTCCGAAGCTTGTCTACCGCGACTCAATGTTTTATGTATCATATACTTTTGAGCAACAATGCGACCTTAATTTGTTCTTGATGTTCGCTGTTTCCCGGAGACCCTGCATTATTTTCCTGAAACTATCGGCTAGGACAACCAAGGTTAAAACTAAAGTCGTAGTACAAAAACACATCTGAAGAGTATGTAAAACGTCCGAGACCCCCCACTTTACGCAAAAAAATATGTATATATCTGGTCGGAAAAACCTGTCTTTTGAAGTGTTTTTTTATACATGTCTGAAATGGCCGGAGGGCGATGGCACCCCAAACTTTACGTTTCTGCTCCAACATTACTGGGCAAAAATGACCTTTTTTAGGGCTTGAGATAATGGTCAGAGGTTCAGAACTTCAATCTCAACATGAAACGGGTTCGACTGAGTGCAGCTACAAAACACTCCACCAAACTAAATATTTCCCCAACGACCAATTTAGGTGATCTATTTTCCCCATAGAGCCCTCACCATGACGTCATGTTGTTCTGAACTGCGCCTTAATTCAGTTCAGGAGATGCCGTATTTATTCAAGCTGTAGTTCCCGTACCTCAAGTCACTGATTATAGGAGATAAATGTAAAGAAGGGGAGGGAGAAGTATACAATGCTTAGAATTAAAATAAACCGAGAACGTTGCAATAAAAAAAAAACCTAAATTTTCGTTTGGACGCCGAGAGATCATTTGGCCTTCAAGCTAAACGTACCTGTTCAACTAATTCTTCACAGGTGATGAACGCGATGGTCCAGCTGACAGCCAACCACCGGGGATACTTCGAATTCCGGCTTTGCCCAGTCAACGATTCCAGAGTCGCCGCAACGGACGAGTGCATGGCCAAGCACCCGCTCAAAATAGCCGACGATTCCACGGGCTCTACCCGCTTCATGGTCGACAACGGCAGGGCCATGAACTTCAACATCAGCCTTCAATTGCCAAAGGACATGACGTGCAGCCAGTGCGTCTTTCAATGGAGTTACACCGCGGGTAAAAATCCTTTAACAAGAAATGTTGGTCTAGTTAACGTCCGTGTCCCACATGAGCGACAATCAGAAACAACCGACACCGACAAGCCTTAAGCACATGAATCATGAACGCGAAAGCACCTTTTGCAGGCTTGCAGCCTATCGATGCTCGTGAAGTAAGCTCGAGAGATTGTAAGCCTGCCAGAGTTACATACGCGTGCATGCTACAAGTGCTCGAGGCTTGTCAGTGTCGGTTACTTTTGTTTGTCACTCCAGTGGAACTCGGACATAAGTGCGGACAAAGACGGAAAGAAGAATGGACACCAACAAACATTCGTTCCTGTACCCTCCTCCGTGCCCTCTGTGTTTGCGCTTACAAGTTCCCTGAGCGTGATCCTTTTAGTAGCATTGTTTTAGTTGAAAACAGTAACCCGAATATATTTGAAGATCAGAACACAATACTTATCCACTTCGCAAGTGTCCCCGGAAAATGAGCGTCTTTCCAAAAATGAGAAGGATGTGTGAATAAACATCTCTTTAAGCTATCCAAGCGCCAAGGAACTGCCGCGTGTGTAGTTCCATTCGGGCAGTGGTGTCTGCTGCCAGTAACCTAAAGAAATCAAATCTAAACCAGGCACCTTTCCACGTATGTTCGCCTCCAGAACATAATACATTTAAGTGTGTGCAGTGGGCGTATCCACGTTACCATAATTTTCCTGTGTTTTGGGGTAATTTGGCAAAACATCTATCATGTTTCGAATAACACATCATTCATACTAAGCGATGTGCGATGAAAGACCTCGCTGTTTGCTGACTATCATGAATAAATGACTAAGGGATATTAAATTTTGTTTCCTGTTCGAACATGTCTAAAAAGATACCAAGATGTGTCCGTCTTTAAAGTGGTTCAAATGATGGAAAACGGGAAGTGCTAGTGACTTCGTAATACAGCACTGCTAGAGGAATCTAGGTGGGGAAAAAATGGAGGGGCAAATTCCGTGCGCCTGTGTAAGGCTGATATTTCAGTCTTCTTGATAAGGATTGCACAGTACGCGAGAATTAAACTAATATATTAGCTGTCGACATTTCATGGCTGCTCTGTTAAAAACTTTAAAATAAGCTAGCTCCTCAACATATAACATCGCTTTGTGGAGAAAACAAATTCACGCAATAGAAACGGTTTCAGGGAGAATTGACTATATTTCCAAAAGCTTTATATTTCGAGCAAAACTCGAATATGTATTAAAAATAAACAGTAAATAGTAATATTAAAAAGTTAGTTCTAAAAATTGGCTTTTCTTAATTTTCATTACAACGAAAATATTGCAAAGAATCCTGATTTATTAAAGAGCTGTGCGACTTGGACATTCAATGCAAAGCGCTATGCTAACAAACAAGTTTCATTCGCTCCAGGGAACAACTGGGGACGCTGCGAAAACGGATCAAGCAAGGTCGGCTGCGGTCCACAGGAGACCTTCCGTGGCTGCGCCGACATCTCCATATCGGACGAACCCGTGTTTTACTCCAGCGATGACGACGATGATGTCCCACCTAGTCAAAGCCCATCCCAGACGACACGTCGAACAGCCACCAACGTTCCCTGGTGGAAGACCACGTACGCCACTGCCCCCCGAAGACACTACACGTCAGCTCCGAGGTTCACGAGCCCCAGAACCACGCCAAGACCGCACCACGAGGTCGAAAGTCGACATCCCGCCCCTAGTCCACCATTCAGAGGTGGTCACCCCAACAGTCACCCCGGAGGAAGCCATCCTGACGACCGGGAGGTTGAAGGAGGACATGGTCATCGTCATCCGGGTGCTACGACCGAGGGTTACGACCACGAAGACAACCCTACTCGTGGCTACCCGGGCGTCTTCAAGCCAGTCCGACCAGTGGGCCCCGGCTTTGGTGGGAAGATTCCATCGTATGCTCCGGGCTCTGGTGGCAAGGTTCCTGCCTACGGTCCGGCCTTCACGCTGCCTCCACGTACGATGATGCCCAGGAGGTACACGCCCAAAGGCCGCGTTACCTACCGCTTCAAACCGACCACCGTGGTTTCGTTCAAGACGACCAAGAAGGTCCCAAAGGTGCCGCCGGCCACGAAGCCCCCCGTTACCAAGACTGTAGGAGGCTGTAAGAGCGTGGGGACCTGGAGGCGGCTTCCAGGAATGGACAAGTGGTGCTGGGAAAATTGCACCAGGGGGTACTGTCCGCCGACTCACTGCGCATGTTATTAGACGGAAGTCGTATGGAGATGCTTGTATCACTCAATGCCGCCTTAAACAATAACGTCTCATCATCTGAGAATTTGAGACGTTGTTCTAGAGATTTTTTTTAATTATTAATATTTCCAATTCAGCACCTTTTCGAAGGCTTCCCGAGATTAGATTTTTTATTTTTATTTTTTGGAGTAGCGAAATCAGTTAACCAGCTTTGCCAATCGCGTGGCATTCTTGTTGCCATTCCAGAACCGAACACAGATGTGTTTGCCACATACTAGTCTAGTTTACATTAGTTTAGTTAAGTAAGCCAGACGTTTAAGTCGGTAAATTTATGAATCAACTCTAGCCCTATAGATACGTTTAGCGCCATGAGATTCACGGGCGCGAACGCTTTGATTTTCGTGCAAGCGTATTTCGATAGCGCTTTAATGAACGCAGCGCAGGTTCCATTGTATTTATTTTTCTTTATCCGACAATAGGCTCGTTAATGCAGATGAAACCGGAATGAACAGATTTCCTTTAACGTTGTTTCCATAAACGTTATTCGCGGAGCTAAGGGAGACGCAAAATAAACGCCGGGTACCACCGATTACGCAACGCTTTTACCAGCTCCCATTAAGACGCTCCCCCCTCCCCCACCCCCCTTTCTATTTTTGTCCTGATCCTAAGGCAAACTGCTGCGACCCCCATTGAGCCAAAACTGCTATGTGATATCACGGCTCTAGAAAGTACCAAACGAAATTAAGCTTAGTAGGGTAAGTTCCCTGCGTGTGTTTGTGGCCACAAGGTTACAGAGCTGGCGGATTTAGTCCAATGTACGCGTCAGTGATAATATGCGCGTACATTTGGTGTAAACTATGTACGCCGATGCATACACAGTTTATAGGTAGGCATGTATGCTTGTATGTATGATAGAAACACTTGTGGTCAGGTGTAAAGGCGAATAACGCGCTAGCCTGACGGCGTAGAGCGTGGAGCACTTTTCAGAAAATTACACATGAGCCAGCCCGTGGCAAATTTCGTCTGAAGAATGCCTTCCAAGTGCTGAAACATACCGCATGTCGAAGAAGAATGCAGCTGAAATCACATGGGCTTACTGCTCGTGCGGCAGTGTTCTAAGAGTAGTCCAAGTCACTGGTGCGTCAGTTTTAGAAGAGAATTCTACTACTGGGAAACCTGTTTTTGCAAAGGGTTTTAAACGCTGAAGACACAAAGCAATTGTTAATAGTATTTTAGGTAACGTCGAAGCAATACTTTCACTGCTTGTTACCTCACCCTTCTGTTATACAACTGATCATTAAAACAATCGTAAAACAATTTTGTGACAATCCTTATTACAGATTTTAACAGAAAATACAAGTCGCAGTCGACTTTAAAATCGCATCTTGTCTTTCCATGTGTCACAAAAAAGCTCGAATATTCAGCGGTTGTACTCGCTATGTTTGTGTGTGCGTGTGTGTCTGTGTATTTTACAATTTCCACCCATCGTGTCGCTGGTTCGATGCGCGTTTTATTTGTATGTTTTACTCTATTTAAATATCATTTTTACTCAAAACTCGAACCATCTTTTACACCAACTAAAATAAACGAGTGCAAACACGGGTATCTTAGTGAGCTCAGCGCAAGTTGACTGTGCGCGGGTTTGAACCGTCAAACCAAGGTGTAATTTCTAGAAATAGATACAATAAACTGCCAGGGCTTTACTTCGGTAAATTCGAACTAATTAGGTCGTCTGTATTTCTCTTCCCAAAAGAAATAGTTGCCTGTGTATCAATTAAGGTATAAACATGGCTTCCACAAACGGAGGTATTAATTCGCGCAAACGGAGTCCGTCCAGCATTACCACCTGCTTATTATTCCTTCAAGATCATACCTTGTTTTGTGTATGTTTTCAGTTACTGTGGTGTGAATTTTTACCGATCTCTTTTCGTACTTTGGACACAATAAAGAATGCTGTCTACGACCCGTAGAAGCATGAAAGAAAGCCAATTACACCACTGTAGCCTTATTGAGTGAGTGAGTGACCCCGGGCATGATCTCCAATCGTCTTCTTTTCCGGATTCCCGGGTTGAGAGTTTTTTGGTATGAAACTGCGTGGGCGTGGCACAAGCTAGCTCAAACATCCCTTTGAGCAACGAGGCTAGATTATGTAGGCTGTACTGAGCTACGGCGGTCTATAATCGCTAACAGATTAAGAAATTCAAGACAAGCGTTTCCCGCAAAACAGTCTACTTTCCATTTTAGAAGAGCGATCGCAAGAGAGGAGGCGAAGAGGGACTCGCCTCACTTTCAAGCGTTCGCTCCTTCAAAGTTAAAAGAGTGGTAGCTTTGTGGGAGTAGCTTGCTCTGCATTTTAAACATGTCGTCGACTGTAGATTGAGCTCCCGGTGCCTTGATTTTCTGCTCGTGTTGGCTTAACTTTTGTCCCCGAGTTACTACAGGGAAGCCTCTTCCCCTTCGCTTCGTACTGGTGCCTTTTCTTTGGTCGAGTTTCCTACCAAGAAATCCTCGAGCCAAGTGTCCGAAAATGGGCACCAGTTATTTCCGAAAGAGCAGAGCCTCTGCGAGAGAGATGGATTTGTCGTCAACGATGGAATGATTTATGTTTGTGTCGACGAGCCAAGAACCAAAACCAATACTCGGGGGGAGGTTGATTCTCTCCTCTGCTTACATTTCCTTAGCCTTCGTCGTCTTGTGATTATGTGACTATTGCTCCTTCTCTCGGTCCTAGTTATGTGACTATGACTCGATGAGTATCAACAGTGCATACAGCAGTGCCAAGTTTGTTTCTCTCCTGGAGAACAGCGTGATTTACTGTGTCGTGCCTCGACATTTGTTTTTGTTTTGAATAAACAACTTGTAACCACAAAAACGAAAGCTCTCGTAAATTGAAGCCTTTATTTTAAGTTACCAAGTATGCCTTTGTTGGGATTGGCTCCTCTGTCTGGCCTTAGTAAGATAAGCTTGTGGAAAAAACATTCTGCAAAAACTTAGTGGAGCAGCGCCTCTCGATGACCCAGTGCAGGTAATGCACTGGTTCATTTTATTAAATTAAAGTAATCACTTCACCGCCTCTTCAATGATTGCGGTAACACTACCTATCAAAGCACCGACACGACCAGTGCTTAAAGGCAGGGGGATCTCGAGGGATCTCAGACCACCACGGATTTCGCGACGGAGGGTTTCAGACCACTTTCGGGATGGGGTTCAACCGTCCCAACCCTAGTGGCGAAATTGACAACTAAACCCATGGACACATTACTTCTGTTTTGCGTGTTTCTGACGCAGCGCTTGGCTGACGTAGCCCAACGCTGTATAAGCGTTTGGATGTATGTGCATGTTATAAGTTTAAAGCCAAGCTGCTTGTCAAAAAATGTCCCATCCCCCCCCCCCCCCCCCCCCCCCCCAGCCCACAACAGAGACCCCCTCCCACAGGTGGGAGACTTTAAACACTGCCAGCTATGATGTTGCCGGTGCAACCACAGGGTGGCACCACCTATCCATAAGAGGCAGAGCACGAAGGCAAAATACCAGTGTGTCGAACCGAACAAAATACGGGTTCAGTTACGGTCCAGGTTCAGGTAAATTTATTTTGTTCCGGTTCAGTTCCGCTTCGATTAATTCGATCCGCGAACCGGTTCGCGAACCGGTTCGGGGCGCTGAACCGGTTCGCGAACCGGTTCGGAAATTATAAATGACAAATTGCAACATCAAAATAATTTACAAATAAAACATATGAAATTAGCACATACGAAACGGGATACATCGTAGTGTAAGGCTCAGGGATTTCTACCAGGAATGGTTTATGTGCACTCAAAGGTTACCTCACCGACGTTTACGCATTCGGACTTCATCTAATTGGGTCCGACGCAGTAGCTGTAAAATCCGCGACCTCCTTACAAACCCACTTACAAGTAGAACTCGCGAACTATCCCGCCACCTCGGCGTGTAAGCAATTGAAGGAACTGTGGGGAGAAAATACAGCTTTCTTTATTTGAACTAGCCTTCGGTAACTCAAATTAGACCCTTAAAGAAGTTTTCATTAAACAAGATACGGAATATGAAAAACACTTCACCGAACGCAACGCCAGAAGGACGTAATGGGATAAATATTAAAATAGAAGAGTTCGCTGTCTCACAAATATGTTAGCTTCTAAGAGCCTATACGAAACCGGATGCATTATTATCAAACTCCACAGCCTTTTCTTTTCTCATTCCGATGGAAGCAAGCTTCAAGAACTCGCGCGTCTAGAAACGAGTTATGAAATGAGCACACAGCAGCATTTAGGATTCTCGATATTGTAGGAAAATAAAATCCCGTAACGCGATTTCTTTTTTTTTTTTTTTTTTTTTGCACAGTTTTTTAATTTTTTTTTTTCCGTGCAAGCCGCGACCAGCGCAACACTGGTTCCTATGTCAAGATTCATGGATGCAGCGTTTGTCAAGATTCATGGATGCAGCGTTTATATTCCTAAGAGTGAGTGGAGAAGAAAAATATGTAAGCGAGGTGTGCGTCAGTTGGCGGCACTTAAAAAACAAATGGCATTGATAGCACATTCATTGTCAACAGCGCGTGGCCGAACCGTTTTGACAAGAGCCGGTAACCGTTATTTTTTTTCCGGTTCAGTTCCGGTTCGGGTTCATCGCGATAACAATATAACGGTTCGGGTTCGGGTTCAGTTCCGGAAAAAATACCGGTTCGGTTCCGTTTTTCGGTTCGGTTCGGTTCCGGTTCGACACCCTGGAAAATACCAGCACTTATTCATAAAAAGCAAGGAGGTTAGAAGACATAGATAGAGCATAACGTCATTTGTTTAAATCCTACTCCTAAAAAGAAAAAAACGCAAACAAGCAGAATGTCAGCATCAACAAGATTTGTTAAACACCGATGCTATGTTTCAAATCTTACCCAAATGAATCCGAGTTACCCCGGCGGATCGTGTCACGTGACAACACAGAGGGAAAAACGCTGGACGAGGGTAGGTTTTAGAACGCCAAGGTACGAAACCCTTACCCTGGAGTAGGATCGAGTAAATTTTGGAACAGGCCCCGAAGGTCGAGCTGCGCAAGTGACATGTAAACAAAGTATTTTTTTTTTTTTTTTTAAGATGGCGTTGCTTTGCACTATTGCGGTTCCTTCGTGGAATCACGTTTTGAATGCACTGAGCATTCAGGGGGGCTGGGCGGCGAAACGAAAGCGAGTGGCGTCGCGCGTTGCCGTGACGGGGCGTCGGTGTGTATGCGGGTGCAAAATTCGCCCATGTGGTTGTTCCGCCGGGACTTTGTTTCACCGGTTTGGCCCTCGTGGATTACATTCCGAATTTTGCAGTAACGTGAAATAAGTCGTGATCCTTCCACACTCATTGAACGAAGGAAACGATGGGTTTCGTTCCTCGGTCGCCGTCGCTGCAATGACGACCCCATCGAAGAGGACCAGAGTCTGTGCACTCTGTGTCTCTGTGCACTTTAAAGCAGACGACAAGAGCTTGTCGACGGAAGTGTAGAGCCAGACTCCTCCAGTGACAGTCCACACGTTGACTTCTATTCCCGAACGCTTCCTCCCTATTCGCAGGGGAAGAAAAAACGCATCTGGAACGTTCAGGTGATGCAAACGGATTGAATTGTTGCTTACGTACATCGGACGCCAGCACGTGAAGCTCACGCTACCAAGTCAGCACGACACATGCACAATGCACGAGCGAAAATAAAAAGTAGAAAACTAAATTACAACAGAAAGAAAGCTGACGCACAGGGCGCGCTGTTGTCGGCCGGCTAAACGTCTCAAACTGAGCTAAGTCGTCAATATAGGCAAAGTGGGAAACCAAGTTAGGCATTATCCGCCAGTCACGATATCTTTATACAGCCACACAGTTGTTCCGCTCTAATTTAGGAACATCGATGAAGTTCATTCGTATATACGTGAGGTCACACGCAATGGGCGCTCGATGTTTTTCTTCAGTTGCGATCAGCACCAGCGCCAGCACCAGCCGACGTACACTAGAAAATTGACCGCGATTATGCTTTGCGTGAGTGTCCAAAAGCGTACCTATCAACTCTCTGCCTCGCTGCGTTCGCCAAGAACATAACGACGATGTCAATAATCGCCAAGTTTCCAGCAAAGAGGATCAGAACCGGACGCCAAGCATGCTCGCATTTCTCGAGCACCGCTGTAAACACTCGAAAACCACGAGCATCATGGGAACAGTCTGATCTGCGAGGAGGTTTGTTTTCGTTTGGCGCGGGCAAGGAGATTAGAAGACTGTGTGATTGGCTGTACAACCATCAACGACCGCTAGCATCAGAGAACGTGTAAGATCTGCAAGGATGTTTGTTTCCGTTTGACGCGGGTGAGTGAGAAGCGCGAGAAAGGGGTGAGCGTCAGGAGGATGTGGATTGCGGGAGTTACGAGGCTGACTTCATGGCCTATTTACGTTTCCTAACCTCTTTGCTGAACGGTCGCACATATATTACTCAACCCCTCCTTTGCTTTGGAAACAGCTTCTTGCTTATAACCTCAGTTTCTACAATTTCCGTTGAGTCCACGATTGCGCACACATCGGTGACAGATTGACCCTTTTCAAAAGTCAGCGCCAACGCCTGTCCGCCATTGTTTGATCAAATACTCCGAGCATGTCAAAAATAATCCCTGGAGAAGGGAAAAAAGGGGGACAAAGGACGGACACAAATTTACGAACACAGCTAGGTGACTGGTGCGCGACCGAAAAAATCCGCCCGGTCCTGGTATCGAACCCGGGACCTCTCCATTACAAGTGGAGCGCTCTAAAAACTGTGCTAAATGAGCTAACCAGGAGTTAAACGTCAGTGGAGGAAACAACTTCTACCCGCTGTCACTATTCACTATAGTCTAACACCAAGAGGGGTAAACGGCCATCATTTTAAGGTTATGATGACAATGCAATTAATGCAAAGGTGCGGGCGATCTGGACAACAGTGACGAAAATAATTCCTGGAGAATGAAAGCGAAGAAGACAAAGGACAAATACGAAGCTCCAAACACAACTAGGTGACCGGTGCGCGACCGAAAAAATCCGCCCGGTCCTGGTATCGAACCAGTGGCCTCTCCATTTCCAGTGGAGCGCTCTAAAAACTGAGCTAACCAAGAGTTAGACGTCAGTAGAGCAAACAGGTTTTATCAGCTGCCACCAGTCTAATACCAACAAGGGTGAACGGCTTGCATTTCAAGGTTTTGATGATAATGCAATTAATGTAAAGGTGCAAACGAGCTGGACAAGTATTACGAAAATATTACCTGGAGAACGTGAACAAAGGGGACAAAGGACAAACACACATCTCCAAGAACCGTTGTCTTCTGTCCGCCTTGTTGCCCTTCTCCACGGATTATTTCCGTCATTCTTGAAATTCCTATTACCCCGAACAGCCTGAACTTACTTCTTATCGAAATTACCGGGTGAACGTTTGGCCTACAGGCTGCTCTCGTTTGAACGAACAGAAGACAGTTTGCACAAGCAGACGAGTTTGTTTACTTATTTATTTATTTATGAATGCACCTACATCGCCCTGGGGGCATTATTGTAGAAGGCAGGGCCGTAACCAGGGGGGGGGGGGGGGGGTTAGGGAGTTCTGACCCCCCCCGAAATTTTTTTCTGGGTACGGCCCTGGTCGGTTCACTGGCAGCCAGCCGATTTTAATCTCCACCTCTGCGCGCGCGCAGTGGCGCCGGTCGGCTACCGGGTACCAAACCGGGACCGGTTCTCCGGTTTGCTGTAACTCTCCATTATATGCCACCGATGTATATGATTCATAGGCGAAAATAAGACAATAGACACTTTCAAAATGGCCGCCGTTGTCCCCGAAACACCCCCCTCCCCCCCCCCCCCCCCCCCGAAATTT